ACCTCCAACATCCCCCACCCCCGCATTGAACTCCACACATCTTCAAGCTGCCAAGGTTGAGAAACACTGTTCCACGCTGTTGAATATGTTAACCCTCACCTTTCCATTTTAGTTTTTTTGTTGTTTGTTCCTTTTTTCCCCCCCTAAAGTCCTAGGCAGCAACCCATTGTAAGAACTGCCTGACAGTGCCCCATTCACAGAATTTTAGATGTCACAATTAGGAATAAAAACAAATGTATTGCTAAACAAGAGCTCTAATTTGTGAAGGTCTTCCTGCTGTACTTTTTCCACATTTGAGCATGGGAGAAAAAAGTATTCCACACATTTTGAAGCAGGAGCAAGTTCTGCCCTGCTTGGATTGGTGTAGACTGATCATAACATTCATCCTTCCTTCCTTGCCTTATCTTTGATGCAGGTTTGCCCTTCAAAATACATTTTTTCCTTTTTTTAAAAAAAAAGAAAAGAATGATAAACACTTTAAGGGGAAAGAATGTATATGGGATACTGTCGCTGGTGGAAGTGGAGAAAAATGATTGCCAGCTGTGCCAGCAGACAATTTGCGAGGGAACCAAGTTAGAGGAAGATACAAGCCTTGCTTAGGTGTCACATCGGTAGGCCAGGTGAGCTGTGAGCCATGTTCTCACCTTAATGTCCCCCCAAATTTACAGAGGCTGCAGAACACTAATAACGCCGCCTCTTCATAACTTTTGCAGTCTGGTGGCAGAGGTGGGTGACCCAAATCTTTCTCTTTGTAATGGCAGCTGTTTGGCTTCCCCTCTATGCAGCATTATGTCATTCTCCTTCTTGGATCTTCTGACTAAGAGAGTTGGTTAAAACTCATCAGCAGGAGCAAGAGCAATAATAACGATAATAAAGGTGGATGTTATCAAAGAATGTCTATCGACTTATTTCAATTTATTAATGATACAGTGGCGTATGTATAGAAGCACGAGACGTACAGGCTGATTTAATGAGATTATCTAGGAATCTGGAACACTCAAGCAAACATTATGCCTTTGTTATGTATAAATGACAAGTATAAACCAGGTGAAGTAAAAAAAAAAAATCTACGTTATCGGAAGATTGCCATTTTGAGGTCCATTTTTCTATTAGACCAGTTTTCTAGCATGTCTACCACATTTATTTATTTATTTTTATTTATCAAACTTATCCCCACCCATCTCCCCCCAATGGGGGACTCTGGGCGGCTTACAGCATATTAGAACAATAAATAAATATACAGTTAAAATTTATACATTTTATAAAAACACATTTACACAGAGTAAAAGAAAGAGGAAAAATTCAGGAGGCCTTATGGCAATGTTCAAATCCTTTCCTGTTTTCCAGGATCTTGCTGCAGCCTCTCAGGCTGCCATCAAGGAGAAAACAATCAGTTCTTTATGTCTCAAAATGCCATTTGGGTTATCGAGAAAACTTAGGCCAACATAGATCCAATATAATGGCCTAAGTGGCAATTGGTCTTATTGTCATAAAAAAAAATTGTGGCCCAAAAAGCCTGGATAACTTTCCAAGACCACCCCATAAGATATAGGTCTCCTGGGTAACTGCCACTCCACCTTTTCTTCCAGATCTGCCTTGCCAGCCTGACTCAGAGAGCGGAGGGTGGAGAAGACTAGCAACCCTAATCCCCCCCTTTGGAGAGCAGAAAGGGTTAACCACTCCCCCCCCCCCCCGCGCCCTGCTTTTCCATTGGGTGACTGCAAAGCCTTTTCCCCCCTTTGATTCCTCTTCGGAAGAGCCAGCCAATCAAACTCCATCGTGCTCCGGTGGTGCCCACATTGGCCAAGCTGCCAGCCGAGAAGAAATTGTTACCGCTGCCCATTTCATTTCATCTCATTACTTCTCCCCATCTTCTGTCAGCACTAGAGGAGAGAAGGGAGGAAGCCGCCAAGGGCCTTTTTGGGGGGTGGGGGGAACAGGGTCCCCAGGTGTGAACTTGGAAAGACAGGCTCCCTCCCTTCCTGCCATGGAGAAATCCATTTGCAATTCGTCTCACAGCAAGAAGGCGATCCAGCCCCTTCATTATCTTAGGTAAGTGGCTGTGCAGTGAAAGGGGTGAATGTTGCCATGTTTTCCCTCCCAGCAGGGCTCCTGTGCCTGCTGGGATGGGAGGCAGAGGCAGAACATTTAGGAGGTGAGTCACCGCCATGCCTGTTAACCCAGTGGAAAGGAGTGAAACTAGTTTGGAGTCTGATTGTCCCAGGAAAACCAGCCTGGGAGGATCCTGGCAGGGATGGGCACTCAGGCACAGCCTCAGTTCTTGAGGAGCTGCTGTGGAAACAGGGTTGGGCTAAAGAGGGAAATCAGTTTGTGAACGTCGCACCCTATTTTGCATATGGGAAGGGGGTTATTTTGGGGTTGCATAGTCACTCACTGGGCAGGGGATAACGCGCTGGCTGAGACGATCGGATTGTTGCTAGTTCCTCGAATACCGAGGCGCAAATGAGTAAAAGATGATAGTGTCAGTTCTGACCCCTTCTTTCCCCCCCTCCCATAACTTTTTTCCCCACATGCAGTCTCATGCAGCGAATGTCGGTTCACATTTTCGAGTGGGACTGGGGAGATCCCTGCTTGGCCCCTAAGTTTGTTCAGTTTGGGGCCTGTTTCCATGTAACTAGGTTGTGCAGAGAGTGAAAAGGAAGGCTATGGAGCAAAGGAAAAGAAATAACTGTTTAAGTCTCGTTTGCCCACCTAATACGCATTTTTGTTGCATGTTCACGAGAGACGCAAGGTGCAGAGCAGAAGGATACAGCGATCGATCGCTGTTTGCAAGTTTTCTCTCTCGGCTTAGTTCCACAAGCACATTCCCAAAACCTCTGGAAACCCGGTAGTGAGAAGAAGAGGTGGTTTTTCAAACCACCATCCGCCCCCCCCACCCCCCACCCCGGAGCAAGATGGCAACGAAGATTGTTCCACCCTCTTTGCAATTTGACAGAGTTGTGTGAATAGCTTGGTGTACCCCCTTGCCACTGATCACCATAGTGACCATAAAGGGAGCCGCGTTCGTGAGTGAAATGTGGGTGGTGAGGTGTGCATGGAAGGGGGGGGCATTTTCTTTCTAATGCTTAACAGTTTGATTGCTGGTGAAGGCTGGTGTCCTTCTGAATTCAAGCTCATAGAGTTGATTTGAATGTTACTGTTGGCTAGAATTTACTCTTCCATGAAGTTCCCAGAATAAGAGGTTTTCCAACCAGAAAAAAACTGCAACTAGAAAAAAAAATCAGAAAAGAGAATACCTTTCAGGGAAGGACCAAAAGGATGGACCCCCACCCCAAAATATATGCATGTATACAGAATAGGGCAATGCACTTTCATGCATTTATTTATTTATTTATTTATTTATTTATTTATTTATTTATTTATTTATTTATTTA